TCCCAGCAGTGCTTACTTGGGGTGGCTCCCAGGAAGCGGCCGGCAGGTCCCTGAGGTAAGTGTCAGAGGCTGCATCCTCCTCCCCAGCAGAGTGGGTGCAGACCGGTCCACCTTGCTCATGGCAGAGCCAAGGAAAGGAGGCACCTGCCTCTGCACACGCTGATTCTACGCAGGGCAGGCCGGGGCTGAGCCCAGGTCACTTCCCCCCCCAAGCAGGGATTGCCCCTGGCAGCGTACATCTGCTCGATGTACAATCGGGACGCCATTGTCCCGATATTCAGGTAACATTTTACATTTGGTTGTGAAGGTTACTGGGCATGCTCAGGTCGGGTGAGCATGCTCCGTGCACCCCAAGTCACCCAAAGTCGGGAATTGGGAGCGGGAGCTGTTTGTGTCGTTACAGGCCGGCTGGTGTCTGGGGCCGGAGCCGAGGGGAGCGGCTGGTGCTGGGGGAACATGGAGCAGAGCCCGAGCAGCGGTTACAGGATGCAGGGGGTTGAGGGAGCTCGGGGAAAGCGCTGGGGCCGGGCAGGAAAGTGCCTCTGCACAAATGGGCCCAGTGCCCTCGGCTCTCGCAGCCCCGGGAACCTGCTCCCCTGCGGCAGTGATGCTGCAGGAAGGAGCCGCATTAACACCATGATTAGCCCCGTGCTCCCGCTCCAGCCAGGACCTGCTCCGGGGGCAGAACCCAGCGAGTCAGGTAGCAAAGGGGGGGGAACTGCTCAGACTGGCTTCACCGGGCCCATGAAGCAGCCCTTTCCCGCACCCACACCTTCCTGCTCTAGACCAATCCCTGGGAGGACCCCTTCCGTGTGCCAGGCTCCCTTAGGGTCTGACTTTGTCATCAGGGCAAGCCCCGGCCCCCTTGGCTTCACCGCCTCCTTCAGCCAAACCCTGGAGCCGCCAGCAGCACCCCTGCTTGGCACCGTGAGCTCCCTGCCTTGTACACCCAAAGGGAGCAACGCACCCCGCCTTCAGCATGTGAGTGACTCTCAGCCAATGTGGTAAAAGCATTGGGGTTTATTAGCTGTCTGCAGCACAGAGTAGACTGTCCTTGATTAGCACAGAGAACAGCTGGGAGAGCTACAAGAGGTGGCTAGGCTGAGGAGCATCCGTGCCCACAAGGAATTCATACAAAGACCTCCAAGGCCCTGGAAGCTACTCAGCTACAGAGGACTGCGGTCACACCACCGAAGGAGAAGGATGTGGCTCTGTCACAGGGAGGACACTGGCAGCTGGTTACTTCTGTTCGGCAGGGCAGGGCTAGGAGCCCCTGGGAGCAGAGAACCAGAGATGCCCAAGGTCCCACGGGAAGAGTGTAGTACAGCTGGGCACTGAACCCTGGTCTCACAAGGCCTCGTGCACTAACCACTGGACCATGCTGCCTTTCTGAAAATCCCACCAAGTGCATCTTCAGTGCCTGGTACCTTTACAAATCTGACCCTCCTTTGCTGCTAGGAAGTTCTGGTCCCTGATACGCAGTGGGAGCTGGGCGATTGTTCTTGCTTTAATCTGAGCTCAGCGGCTGAAATCTTTCGTTTCGGTCACTTTTCGGGTTTGCTGATACGTGGCCTGGCTTTTGAGCTGTTCTCCCCAAAGCTCAGGGCGACGGCACCGTTGCTGGTGCGTGGCTAACCCCGCGGGTGCAGGGATGTACACCCGGAGCCACCATGTGAACCCCTGCCTCATGCTGGTGAGTGTTTCCTCATATCAGGATCACCCTCTGGCCCTAGCAGGATGCTGGGGCTACATGCTTGTGCCCTCTAAGGCTAGGAATGCCAGAGTGAAGGCTGCATGCACACCCTTAACTCTGCCCCCCGTGTGTGCCTGCTTCATTTCAGTGCAGGGGTTCGCCAGGGCCTGTGTCTCTGGGGACACAATGCACTGGGAGAGCCCAGCTGAGACGCCTTCTCTGCCTCCGGAGCAAGTTTGTTTACACACGGCATCTATAGCAACAAACTGCTGGTTGCCTACTGCTTTCCTGCTCCCTGGAGGGTTGCTCCCATCCAGTCCTCACTGGCAAGCTCCTTCCAGACGGGGGCTGCGCCTTCACCATGAATTTGGGGGCAGCTGAGGCCTGGGGGGAGACTCCCCCACGGGTGCAGATCATCCAACAGCCGGTAGGTAAATCCCGGAGATCGAGCCGCAGACTAAGGTCTTGCTGAGTTGCCCATGCATGGCTGGCTGGCACTGCCTGGCCCCAGGGACTGGGCAGCTACGGGGGAGCCAGGTCCCGATTCCACAGGCTGGGCTTCCCTTTACCACGGTGAGAGACGTTCAGGGCACTGAGTTTCTAGCTCCACTCCTCTGCCAGGACTGCTCGTGACAGTGTCCGCCCTCAGGAGACCTGGGCTCTCTGACGGGGCCAGGGCTGGGGAGGAGAATAGGGTGAGACAAGGGGGGCCGGGTGTGGGGTAATCAGGGGAGGGACTGGGATGAGGTGGGGGGGTTGGTGAGTTGGGGTGGGAGTGAGCGGGCCAGGAGTGGGGGGCACTGGAGCGAGGTGAGGGTGGAAGTAGGTTACCACCTTTGAAATGCAAAAACACCAGCACCCACCCCCACAAGGCAAACCCGCCACAACCCCAACCAACCACAAGGCAACTCCGCAACCCCCTGCAACAGAGAGAAGAGAACACCCATAGAGAAGACTGACGACATCCCAGGTCCCCTCACTCTTGTGTGTTGGTGGGCAGACAGCGGCTGTGTTTTCAGTAGTTTTGATCTGTTATCGCGTAAACCGCGGCAATGGGAGTGCTGCAGCGTCTCTGGCAGGACACAGACACTTTGAACATTAGCCAGCTCAGTGCAGTGTGACAAACGCAAATCTTTAGACACACATGAAAAAAACCCCAGCAGATTCAATTACTTTTCTGACAACAACAAATCCATAAAAAAACGGCCAGGCCGGTCAAATACCAGCCAGGTGGTAACCCCAGATGGGCGTGGGGGATTGGGGTGAGGTGAGGTTGGGAGTCGGGTGGGATTGGGGTGAGGGAGGACGAGGGGTGGGTGGGATTGGGGTGAGGGGGGAGTTGGGGTGCGGGAGAACGAAGGGGGGTTGGGATTGAGGTGAGCGGGGTTGGGATGAGGTGGGAGTGGGGTATTGGGGTGAAGTGAGGTTGGGAGTCGGGTGGGATTGGGGTGAGGGAGGGTTGGGTTGAGGTGAGGCTGGGAGTCGGGTGGGATTGGGGTGAGGGAGGACGAGGGGCAGGTGGGATTGGGGTGAGGCTGGGATTGGAGTGAGGTGGGATGAGGGGAGGTTGGGATTGGGGTGAGGGGGGAGTTGGGGTGAGGGAGAACGAGGGGGAGTTGGGATTGGGGTGAGGGGGGTTGGGATGAGGTGGGAGTGGGGGGTTGGGATGAGGTGAGGCTGGGATTGGGGTGAGGGAGGACGAGGGGCAGGTGGGATTGGGGTGGGGGGAGTTGGGGTGAGGGAGAACGAGGGGGAGTTGGGATTGGGGTGAGGGGGGTTGGAATGAGGTGGGAGTGGGGTATTGGGGTGAAGTGAGGTTGGGAGTCGGGTGGGATTGGGGTGAGGGAGGACGAGGGGCGGGTGGGATTGGGGTGGGGGGGAGTTGGGGTTAGGTGGGATGGGGGTTGGGATTGGGGTGAGGGGGGAGTTGGGGTGAGGTGGGAGTGGGGGGTTGGGATTGGGGTGAGGGGGGTTGGAGTGAGGTGGGATGAGAGGCGGTTGGGGGGGAGGTTTGGACTGGGACTAGGCTCCTTGTGAGACTCCCCCGTGACTGCTCCTGGCTTTGCAGGGTGCGAGGCCCTGTCCGGAGCCCTTGCCTGCGAGGGCAGAGGGTCATTGAGGGCTGCCCCGTGCTGAGACCTCGCAGACATGCATGTGCTGGCAGTAGGGTGACCAGACGTCCCGATAAAATCAGGACTGTCCCGATTTTTAGCTGTTTGTCCCGATATTTTGCTCCACCGGCCGCCCCCGGCTTTTTTTTTTTTTTTTTTTCCCCCCCGCCCCCCCCCCCCGCCCCGGGTTGTCCCAATATTTTCTTCATCTCATCTGGTCACCCTAGCTGGCAGGCTGCAGCAGGCTGGCTCCGCGCTCAGTGTGGGGCTCGCCCTCCAGAGGGGTGGGGTGCGGCCCCCTCCACCCCCAGCCCTGCCTCTGCCCAATCGCCCCTCCCAATCCCAGCCCTTCCTCCCCCAATGGCCCCCTCACTCCCAGCCCTTCCTCCCCCAATCGTTCCCCCCACCCCGCAGCCCTCTCACATTAGTTGCTCTCTGCATTATTTTCTAGATTCCCCAACAGCCGCTGACAATATTTCAGCAGATCCCTGGGATCCTGTCTCCTTTCACTCAGCCCGTAAGGCCAGGACACGTCCGAGAAGGTAGGAGACTAAAACACAAAACCTTCTCTGCAAGTTCAGCAACGCTAACAAATACTCAGGCTGAAATTCTCATGCTAAAAACCCACCAGAACAATTCTTTAAACGGACATCTTTATCCATCCGAAAGAAACCAAACAGCGCACGCCATCCCCTTCAAAGCAGATACTCGTGACCCTGAGCCCGCTTGGTGCCAACTTGTAGCGGGCATAGAGGCTGCCTAGAGGTTTACAGGGCTCCCTTGGGTCTAATGCCTACACAACAGTACGGCAAAGCATGGCAGTGACATCTCTACCAACAGCCAGTAAAGCGCTGGTCGTCCTAGTCACTGGGAGATGTATGTACGGGTGATATTTAAGGAGTTATGTAGCCATACTGAAAACTATGCTCTGAAGGTGTGTAAGTTCAGACAGGTCATCTGAAGGTGAGAAACAGATTCGGTTCAGGCAGGGGGTAGGAGACGCTTCTCTCTCCCTGGCTGACCTTTGGGTGTCTTACAACATAAATCGATCTGCATCTGGCGCCATGAGCTAATCAAGATTGTCTAGTCGAGGAGAGATCATGAAATCTGCAGGAAGGAACAAACGGCAGGGGGTTGTCCTGTTTATGACTGAGATTAAAGAATTCGACCTACACCCTGAGCGGTGTAGGTAAGCCAACCTAACCCCCCAGTGTAGGCAGTTCTACACAGAACAAGGAGTAATGGTCTCAAGTTGCAGTCGGGGAGGTCTAGGTTGGATATTAGGAAACACTATTTCACTAGGAGGGTGGTGAAGCACTGGAATGGGTTACCTAAGGAGGTGGTAGAATCTCCATCCTTAGAGGTTTTTAAGGCCCGGCTTGACAAAGCCCTTGCTGAGATGATTTAGTTGGGGTTGGATCTGCTTTGAGTAGGGGGTTGGACTAGATACCTCCTGAGGTCC